ACACACACACACACACACACACACACACACACACACACACACATTCCACGAAAGCATTCAGGGAAAGATTTATAAAATTTTTAAAAGATTTTCAATAAGCCAACCCAACTCCCTTCTGACTCAGAATCAGGTACTGAAAGCTGTGGAGAGACTGAGCAGCAAATGTCATAAAAAAGTCATTCACTTGAATAGAACAGAGTCCTCATTTTTTTAAATTAGTTGTTTGCAGTGCCTAGGGACAAAAGACTTCACATTTGATGTTACTGTCACCATGGCTCTGGCATATTTTAATCCAACTTTAATAACCCAGGGATACTTGCTTTTTGTTCACTATGACGGCTGTCATTTTTTTTAAAACTTGCCTATGAACAACAAAAACAAAAAATTCCTAGACCACAAATTTAATGGGGAGTTGAAACAAGTTCTACCACACAGGAGAGACTTGAGGTTTTAAATGAATCCAAGGGAGACGTGAGCAGCCGGGTTTGCTTTAATAAAAACAACAACAACAACAACAAAAAAAAAAAAACCACTGCATTTGACCAGCAGGAAGACTAATGGAAATCATCACTTCCAAACCCTGATGTAAGTTTAGCTTCATCTTTTAAAGAAAAGAAGAAATTATTCACATTGTTCATTTCCATGAAAATTTTATTCAGAACTACTTATTAGTCCCATTTTGAAAGGTAAAGTAGATGATTTCAGTTTCAGAAAAAACAAAGGGTATTTACTACAGTCAACATGCATCAATCATAATACAAAGCAACTGGATTATCAACGAAACACAGTCTGGAAAGCAAACTAACAGAGAATTATAAAACCGAGTAAACAGGATCCCAATCTAGAAAAAAATCCTGCCTTATGAAACCAAAAGTGGTCAGTTGCGATGAACTCCCTCCATCTCTGAAGGGCGAAAAAAGGTAAAAGACAGCTAGCAAGCTGTAGATATTGATTTAACCAGCATTAGGAATGCTACTTAGAGAATAGTGAAGAAAAAATCCCACACAAGCATCTAGAGACCAAGGTTGTGTTCCTTTAGCAAGGTCAGAAATTTTAAAAAAACAACACTATTTTAATCTCTTCACTAATAGATTATCATTGAATTCATCTTACAAGAACAGTAGTTAAATTCTATCCAACAAAGGTCTGTTTATCACTCAGAAGTTGATGGAGATGTATTTTGCAAAATACAGTAATACCTTGGTTTGTGAGCATAATTCATTTCGGAAACAAACTACTCGTATTGCAAGACATCGCTCCTTTACTACTTTGGAATGTATTAGAAATGTTTGCTCGTCTTGTGGAACACTCGCAAACCATGTTACTCGCAATCCAAGGTTTTACTGTACTGGCGTATTTAAGAAATTGTATGCAGCACCTAGGTACCCAAATACTTGGATCTAGTCAGACTATTTCTTTCCATTTAACAGCAAGTCATGAAGTCACCCAAACATACTTACACATATATGCACAAATGAAGAATGTAGAATGCCTAAGATCATGAGGTCCAGAAGAAAACATTATTCAATCAGCCTTAAGTCTATTATCACTATCTGAGTGACCTTAAATCATTTAATGTCACTGACTCTCAACAAGCATTCTCAAATGCCTATTATATTCTTGTACTATGTTAGGTGCTAGGAATACAGATATGAACAGAGCAGTGCCTCCTCGGGAAAATTTCAGAAGCTAGCTGGGGACATAGACAAGAAAGCAATGATGGCAGCATGTAAAATATGTTAGCAGACAGAGGTTTGCAAATAATGTAATACAAACACATAGAAAAAGCACAGAAGTTGGTAGTCGGGAAATACTCTCAACAATTCGGCAAACATTCATTCAGAGCCTACTGAGTGGAAGTCCCCATCCTGTGCATGGGAGCCAAGTAGTTGAATGATACTCGGAATGTGCTTTCTAAACTCAGGTTCATGGATGAGCTGTGTGTTAGGAGTATGCTCATTTTTACAAAGAATGGGCTCACAACTTTCCTCAGATTCCCCAAGGGACTGACGATCAAATAGGAGGATGAGAACAGGGTCTAATGAGAGGTAGAAACTCTAGATCAGCGGTTCTCAACCTGTGGGGCGCGACCCCTTTGGGGGTCAAACGACCCTTTCACAGGGGTCGCCTAAGACCATCGAAAAACAAAAAGATATTTACATTACGATTCATAACAGTAGCAAAATTACGGTTATAGAGTAGCAACGAAAATAATTTTATGGTTGGGGGTCACCACAACATGAGGAACTGTATTAAGGGATCGTGGCATTAGGAAGGTTGAGAACCGCTGCTCTAGATAGAGACCAATCTTAAACAAACGTTTTCCAGGGGGAGAAGGGTTGATGGGAGTAGGGCTCACTGCTTGGCCCCCATGGGGGTTGGGAAGCCTGAAACAGAGCCAGCGTTCAGCTCACCAGGCCTTGTGTCCCAGCAAGGGCAGTGCCAGTGCAGCAGAGCCTGTCTCTTTCCTACTTCTCACAAAGGTACCATCAGTCACCAATCTGAGCACCCTCAGAACTGACTGCTTGGATGGAGAATCATTTCTAATTCACACAAGGTTAATAATGAGCTAGCAGAGGCCCTGGGCGGGAAAAGGGCATTCCCACAGCTCACAGTATTTTCAATGAACAAAGGCACCAGGGAATATGCCAATTCAGGGAAGCACAGAGAAGCTCCTGAATCAATTGAAAGGTGTTTGTACTGAGAAGGGTGGGAGATAAGGCTGACAAAGTACAAAGGGGCAATTATAAAGGAATTTATATGCGAGGAAAGGCGTTTGGACCTCGTTAACAGCCATGGTGAGCCATCACGTTATTTTAAGTAGGATAGTAATCAGCTCACTCTAAAAACATCACAGAGGATGGACCACAAATGTACAAATATAAAAACCAGTGGAGTGACTCACAGTAATCCAGGGAATCAATTATGAGTCCCAAATTAAAGCAGCAGGCCAGAGAAGAAGGGACAAGCTCTAGAAAAATGGAGGGGACAGAAATAACAGGAGGAAAAGGCGGAATACTAGAAGGTATGACTATATTGATGCAGGATGAGTAAGAAAAGAAGCCAGAATACAGGATGAGTCCCATGTACGAGCATCAGAATGAATATATGAGTCAATTTGGAACCTATTGGGATTGAGATGTACTTGTAAAACATCTAGAGAGAAATATCAAGCATACAGTAAAATATATTGTCCTGAGGTTCGAGCACATGGTCTGGCCTGGAGATAGGGATTTCAGAAGTCACCAGCACAAGCAATAACTAAATCCTTAAATGTGGAAATACAGGCACTTTCAAGGATAGGGTGGCACAGGCAGAGGGACATTAGAGATGACCAGGGATGGGACCTGATGAAACTTCAACAGTGGAAAAGGATCCAGAGGCATTCCAGAGGGGTGGGATTTAAAGGACAGAGTACTTGACTGGAAAATTATAAGACATTGAAGAACGAAACTGAAGGAGATACAAATAAATGGTGGCATGTGCTGTGCTCATGGATAGGAAGAATCAACATCATTCAAATGTCCCTACTACACAAGGCTATCTATAGATTCAATGCAATCCCTATCGAAACACCAATGGCATTTTTCACAGAACTGGAACAAATAACTACAAAATTTCTTATATGGAACTACAAAATTTATATGAAACTACAAAGGACCCCGATTAACCAGAGAAAGAAGAACAAAATTGGAGGTATCACATTACCTGATACCAAACTATACTACAAGGCTATAGTAATCAAAACAGCATGGTACTGGCATAACAACAGATATAGATCAATGGAACAGGATGGAGATCCCAGAAATAAACCCACACCTATATGGTCAATTCATGTTAAAGGAGGCAATAATATACAAGGAGATAAAGACAGTCCCTTTGATAAACGGTGGGGAAACTGGAAAAGATACATGCAAAAAATAAAACTAGACCACTTTCTTACACCATATACAAAAATAAACTCAAAATGGATTAACAACTTAAATATAAGACCTGGAACCATAAAACTCCTAGAAGAAAATATAGGAAGTAAACTCTTTGATAGCACTCTTAGTAATATATATTTTTTGGATATGTATCATTGAGCAAGGAAAACAAAAGAAAAAGTAAGCAAATGGGACTACCTCACACTAAAAAGTTTTTGCACAGCAAAAAAAATCATCAACAAAACAAAAAGTCAACCGATTGAATGGGCAAAGATATTCACCAATGGTAAATCCAATAAGGGGTTAATCTACAAAATATATAAAGAACTCATACAGCTTAACACCAAAAAACCAGACAATCCAATTAAAAAATGGGCAGAGGACCTGAATAGATATCTCTCCAAAGAGGCCATACAGATGACCAACAGACATATGAAAAGATGCTCAACATCATTAATCATCAGAGAAATGAAAATAAAACCACAATTAGATATCACCTCACTCCTGTCAGAATGGCTATCATCAATAAATCAACAAACAACAAGTGTTGGCGAGGACATGGAGAAAAGGGAACCCTCATGCACTGTTGGTGGAATTGTAAATGAATGCAGCCACTATGGAAAACAGTATGGAGGTTCCTCAAAAAATTAAAAATAGAACC